AGCATGGCCAATATGAGATGCTTCGAGTTTAAATGGATGTTTTCGTTGCCAAGCAGCTGTTGCTATAGTGCACGTGCGGCTCGAGTCTCGTGCGCTGCATACTGATGTGTAAATGAGTGTTAGTATGCCGCTGGTAGAGAGCTAGAGGCATGTGAGTCACGAGATAGCGTATATGTTTGGCATTTTGATTAGCGGATGACAACCGGAAGTGTTTTTAAAGACAGTCATAACCCTTGTCACCTACCCAGAATATCTGAAATAAATATGCGGGGCTTTTTCATGCGGGACGGTTAGTAACGACAATGTTTGCTACCTCGACGGCAAGGATAAGCTATATACCGAGTGGAGCTTGCCATAACTATTTTAGTCTTTTTTATTACTCTTTTTACTATTTTAGTTACTCTTTATAAACTTGGCACAGGGAACCGGAAATTGATTTTCCACATCCTTTGTTTTATTGACATTATGCTAATAGTTTTTTTTCTCATTTCACGATTGGAACCGTAAATGTCTTAGGATTGAGAGGAAGCCGCTTCTGTGTCGGCTGAATTGATGCTAACGATGCTTATGCTATTCTACGTCAGTTTATACTCCTCGTGAAGCAGGCATTTGCCGCCACCGGCAGAGGATCGGTGACCGTCCCTGACAGGCGGTGACAGTGAAATGTGAATGTAGCCGGCAGTGGAAATTTAGGATCGCGTGTGATGAGCTCATTAACGGAATAATAAGCTGCCTCATCTGACAGTGAAAATGTGTCTTTACAACGACAGTCAAGGGTAAAATGCTGCTCTCCAAACGCCGGCTTATATTTCGCGACATTGCTTATGTCCAACCGAAATGCATCGGTCTGTTCTTAAACAGAGGCGGATCCAGCTCAGAGTTTTTTTTTTGGGGGGGGGGGGCAAACCATAACAATTTATCGATTCTTTCCATGCCTAGTCCATAGGTGTAATGTTAAAATTATGCCGTTTGGGAGGGGCAAATGCCCATTTTGCCCCCCCCCCTGGATCCGCCACTGTTCTTAAACATATTTCAAACGTATTTTTATTAAGATGTGCTCGTCATAGGTTCTTACTGTTTTTATCGGGTTAATTTAGGGTTACATTTTCAATAGCATAGCACAACTTCAACAAATAGGGTTTTTAGGCATTGAACACGAACTTCCAATTATTTTAAAATAGATAGCAGTTACGGATGTTCAACGCTGAACAGTAAATAGCATGAAGGGGAGGTTTGCGGAGGGAAATTCAGTCGTATTATTTATAGACAATGCCCATGTTCATTTAACTTGATGCATATCATTATCGTGATTATCAAACCGTGTCATCATGTAGGAAACTACCGCCCATTGGCAATAGGCATTGTACTATTGCCAATAATTGATATACAATTGATATACAATATTACTATCAATTGTAGTATGATACAATTGATAACATTCTTCGGTTCCCTTTGCTGAAAGTACAACGGGGTATTGCCTTAAAATAATTACACTTTGACATTTGTTCAGAAATCCTTCTGTATGACAATAATGACCTTCCTGGACAATGTAACAATAGGGGAGAGTGGGGTGGGTTGTATCAGTTTTTACTCCGAGACCCATAACCTCGTAACTATCCGTGATAAGCTCATTATTTCCATACTATCCCCTTCCTTGATTCTTCTGCTTTTTTGTGCAAAGTAACTTTTCCGCTACATCTACCAGTTTTTCTTCTACGGTCTCCCGAATAGAACAATGTTTTTGATACAACTTGCCCCATGGCTTGGGTGAGTTGTATCACATGGTGGGGTAATTTGTATCACTATTTCACGTTTCAGGGAGTGTGCTTGCTACTGGTTTTGAACATAACAACAACATTAAATGGGGTTAATACAATGTATAGGTATGCTCAAAGGCTTCACTTTATTAGACCAAACTTAGGTCCATGCAATCCGAACGAAACATCAACAGACTAGACGCAAAAGTGGCCCGTTAAGAGCAAAGAAGCCAACACATTGTGCCGAAATGGAACGAGCATTGACTAGCTACCTACAAACGCGAGCCAGGGCTTAGCTTTCGCGATCAAAAGCAACATACCCATACATACATACACACATACATGTTACAACATACCCCACCCGGCTCTGATACAACATGTACCTAGCCGCCATCTTGGAAAAAACATCCTCGTGCTAAAAAAACAGCGGACAGCTGGAGAAATCCGTTTTCACTCACGCAGCCCTAGAACCTACCCTCACCACCGCTACGGAGATCTTTCAAATTCGGGCACATCTTAATGCCCAGAACACACATTTTCTTGCAACTTATTTTTTCAGAATGACATTAAAAAAACATTAAATCGGCTCTCACCTCGAGACGCGTCCACTCAGCCACAAGACAGAACAGGGAAAGATGGCGCCCGGAAAACCTCGTCGGCTGGTCGTGTCGCGAGCGCCATCCATTGGATAAGTTTGGCACAATTCATCCTGATACAACTTGGACATGATACAACTCTCCCCGCTCTCCCCTACTGCACAATGTAAGGGAAAAGGCGAGGATATTAAACGAATATCTTCTTTCCTCGATGATCGATAACTACGTTGTTTTCGCACACTTTTATGTGGACTTCCTGCGTCCCATTTGTACGTTATAACAGCCCGCAAGACAGCTCAATCTGGTGGGTTGGGTCCCATCCTGGCACATCTGTGTCACTCATGTTCTCCAAGACATTCCATCTTCCCTCCCTAATTTAGTTCCGCCTTGCCCTGTTGGACACGTGGCAAGAGCTGGTGATGTGAACATCCCATCAGTCTCTGCTGAACTTCCCAAACCCTGCAGATTTGCTGAGATCTCACATCGACAGATGCTGTCTGGGACCAATAAACTAGCGTAAAAGTGCAGTCAGTGAGAGCTTAAAGTGAGCGTCGTCGATAATTCACCAGACCTGTGCACACGTGTTAATTTTCCTCCGTCTATTTTAGTCTGCCAGCACCCAACATGCGTCCCGACAAACGTGTCATATTGAGCAGCTAACGCATTAAGCGTCTTTTTAAATAATTAATTTCGTGGTGACGGCTGTAAAGTGTACACTGCCCCTGCAGTTCCTGTGGTGTAAGACACTAAGCGGCCCATTTTCTGTCTCGTTTCTGACACCTGTCTGTCGGCATCCTCTGTCATAACACTGTCACCGCTGTCACGACTCTGACTGTCACCGCGGTGCGTCTGTCATGTGACATCCGGGGTAGCTGCTCCTGCACCCAGTCGCGGCCGGCGGCTCGGCGGACGCTCTGATGTGGCGCTCAGGTGTCTGGACTCTCATCTGCCGGCACCTCCGATGCCCTGCTGCGGGCCTTATTAAAATACGGCTGGCTGGGCCTGTGCTGTTGTTGGTTCTGGGCCAGGAGGGCTATTATAGTCGCCACGCCCGCCGCCGCCGCCGTCGCCGTCGCTGCCGTCTCCCGCTACCCATCTCAGTTGGGCAGCGGAAATCCACTAAGCCTGGCAGCGTCAGTCCATCGTGTGACGATGCCACATGACATCACGAGTCACGCCACGAGTCACCTGCGTAGGACGGTGACCCGGGGGATTGAACGGGTTCAGGTTTGGTATATCAGCGGACGTCGATTGTCTTCTCCGCTCAAGCTCAGTGTATGGAGGCACTGAAGCTTCACACAAACGTACTCGGATGACCCACAATTAGACTTATTTGTGTCAGGCAATAAATGACACCTACTGTCAAACAGTGGCATACTAGGATTAATTACTATACTTTTCGACATGTCAACAAGCTCGTGGAGTACATGTTACTGTCATGAGCAAAGTTATTCTCGGCAGCCGTTCGCGTCCATCACCTTTCTCCTTCGACAGCATCTCGTCTGGAAATGTGCATCATACCTGTCACTTAAATCCCCGGGCCGCGGGCGGTGAAGGTAAAGCCCGGTTTACACTGCGGTGGATAGTAGAGGTAAAGCGCGGTTTACACAGCGGAGAAGCTCGCTGCCATGCCGTTGACAGAGTTGTGACACGTCGGGAACCAGAGTGTATAGCCGGGAACCTCCGCGCCCCTGATGGACACGTGTTTACTTCAGACGAGCGACGCGGGGAGACAGGAGTGCTGGGTGGAATGCTGAGTTAGGGTTATTGCTGAATACCGATGGTATGGCGTGCCTACACATCTGGATTCATCGGGCTCCATCCGGAGACCTTACGATGGCTAGTTTAGGGTAAAGTTGGTGTTATTTTTCGTACGTTTATTTATATTTTTTTTTATAATTTACGAGCTTGTTTTGACTGCTCGCCCCCTACTCATGGACGCTATTTGGCTGGTTTATGTAAGACACATTGCTGCGACGCCCTGGGTGTAATTCAAACGTTTTCCAATGACTTTGGAGGTGACTCCGGAGTCCTGCCGTCACTGCATCGGACGCTATTTAACATCGCTCTTGACGCATACATGAATAAAGGGGTGTTCATGACCGCCAAAGGCCGCACCCTGTTTGGTAGAATATTTAACATACCAGACTGAGGGCTGGCGTCCAGTGATGCTCTGAGTTGATACCGGAACCCGTCCGTTTGCGTCGCCAGAGAGTTGGCTGCCGATGGAACAGACTCACCTGATTTGGCAGCCTTCCCTGAGCCCCCGGAGCGAACACAAGTGACGCATTTGGGTACAAATGGCTCCAGGGTTTTCTGCGGAGTGGAGTTAGCAAACGAACTCCGGTTGCGGTCTGGGAAACGTTAATGCTTACTTCAGCGAACATTAGCCTAATTTGGTTTGGCATTTAAATCACTAAAATATTGATAAATCTCAACAATGCCATGGCTTTAAGTGAAACCTATCCGTCTGCAATGACCACTACCCTGATCGTTCCGTCCCGTTGTGTCTTCGGAAAGGTGCACTGAACTGTACATACCTGTCGTTACGGTTAACCCCATCCTACCTTTCTCGCATAACTAGTTGTCGTATCCCACTTTTGCACAACAACCCCATACTAACCTACCACTGTTTTTTTTTCCTCAGGAGGCGCGCCACAGCTCCAGGACGATGAACCGTACCCAGAGGAACTGGCCATCTATGACGCCCAGATGGTCTCTGAGTCCGAGTCGCTCGTCGTACGAGAGGGAGCCAACATCAGCCTGCCGTGCCAATGGGAGAGCGAGCGAGGTAAGTAGGAACAAACGACTACAACACGATTACAATAGACGAGGGGTGACGTCTACGAGTGCCTACCTCATGTCATCTGTTTCCTTCTCTTTGGACGAAGTTGACTGTAGTAGGAAGCCCGCCAAGTTCGCGGTCCTCCCATACACAGTCGGTGTAATTATAAAGCGGCCGTGACAGACGGCTGGCCAGTGTTGCCGGCTACTGTAGCGCAGGGCCGACGGGTGGCATCGGATCTGCGCCCGACGGGTTGGCCAGCGGTGTTTGGATTTCTAAACTGTGACGTCAGCGTCATATCACGAACCTTTGTTTATCTCTGGCTCCGCCCGCCGAAGCCACGCCACCGCTATTCGCCAGCCACGTGCCGAACTCTCTGAATCTTCCCAGATCTATTGTTTTCACTTGCGCATCCGTCGGAACCGCTTAAGATTCAAATGTAGGCGCTCACAGGGCACCGAGGCATGCCGGCGATTTCGCCTCAGTCGGGAGGCCTCACAGGGCCCCTGGTGATCCGTCTAGAGGCCTGGCGCGCCGCGTGGGAAGGGTGGCCTCCTGCTGGGTAATGGGTGCGAACCCCACCGGGTGATCGCCCCCTGCGGAAACCGCACCAAGACAACAATCCCCTGTGGCCCGGACTTCAAGACGATCCAACCGGGGTCTCATAACTGGCGAACTCCTCCGACATAAGACTTAGCACAATCACCATGCTAACTTGCCAAATCATTCTGAGTTTTTTTTTTAGACCGTTTAAATGGTTAAGTTGGCAAGTTCAAAAAATTACCTATTCGAACGGTGTCAAGTTCCTGTTAACCATTTTTCGTCGTAAATTCGTCCCTTTTCAATGTACGTGGTATATATTTTATCATTTAAGCTCCCCTCACCAGGTTCCGCTTTGCGGTCTCCCCATCAGCGCTGAGTGCTGACACACTTCCCTTTTCCCAACAGCCGGCGACATCATCGTACTGTGGAAGAAGAGGCCCAACATCATCCTGTTCACGGGCTCGATGAAGATCAGCGAGGACGAGCGCGTCCACCTGGGGCCCAATAACGAGCTGCGCGTGACGGACGTGACGGCCGGGGACGGCGGCACCTACGTCTGTATCGTGGCCGTCACACCCGACCCCATCGAGCTCGAGCATACTGTCTCAGTAAAGTGTGAGTAGATGAGGCGCACCATGGGACTACTAAGTACGTCACTTTGTAGGTTTTGGTGATCATGACATCGCATAATCAATATCTTGTTTTATTGTTGAGGGCTTTGTCATGCCCGGTGGCGCGAAATTATCGTTCATGATATGCGGCGCAGCATACCTTCCGGGGCTATAAGCTAGTGACATCTAGCGACAGTAAATCAAACCGATTCACCAATGCCTATTCCCGTTCGTTGCTAATATGCTTGTAGCGCGTACATTTGAGAATCGTGAATTTATGTATTCAACGGCAGAATCCAACAATGGAATCCTTGTAGCACCACTCCCATATCCCCCGTATAACGAGTCTCTACCCACAGGGCCTGCCAAGCTGCACCCCCTGGACACCGACCACTTCCAGGTGCGCGAGGGAGAGTCCTTCGAGCTGATCTGCGGAGCGGACGGCAACCCGGAGCCCACCATCACCTGGTCCAAACTGGTGAGTGCCAAAAGAGTGCGTAAGGAGTGCCGAGCGAGTGCCGGCAGAGTGCGATCTCATTGTGCTGAGCGGCGAAACTGACGGAAATTCAAGGGTGCGCACTCCCTAAATTATAAAGACGGCACTTCTTTCGATGCTATTTTCGGGTGCCGGTGTTTGGTACTCGTTTGGCTCATGAATGCGATTGTCGGCACTCTTTAAGCTGAGAGTTGACACTCCTATGACTGAGTGTCGACTCTCTCCCATATCATATTCAACTCTGCACAAAATGCGGCGTGAGATATTGGTCCTTGGAACAACTCTCAATATCCCACACGCTGTTTGTGCTAAGCGTTTCCTTGAGCGCACCAACAGCTGCGTCCTCTGCAGCGGTCCACAGTTCGTGTCTGCTGTTTGTCGTCCGGGATCGATAGTATGATCTCAGCTGATCATCTCACTACAAACATTGCCGCACATGTATCTGTCGCTCAGCCTGCCGGGTTGTGTTCGCTCAGAGGCTGCATGCCATGACGCTTTGCAATGGGCCATCTGAACAGCTCCATGTCATTCGTTGGTCTTTGGTGCCGTTTGGTTCTACGCTTAGTGCACCGTTTTTCGTGTTGTACTGCTGATATCCCGTATTACACCTCTTTCATCCCGTATTGTATCGTTTCCAATGACATATAACTCCGACTGCCTTCACAGAAACCGCTATCACTCCATAATCCGTGTTTCTATACCTACTACCTTCCATATTATGCCGTTACCACTCCCTATTTCTGCCGTGTAAAAATTATCCTAGCCCTTTTAACAGTCGTTCAGAATCACGTCGATGCTGCCTGCCGAGTAACACAAAATGTTTTACCCATTTCGCGTGCCTGTGAACTTCAATTGTCCACCAAAAGCTGCGCAGTTTAGAAGAAATCTCTCAATCAAAACACCATCACGCCGTAGAGAATGAGTCATCAGTCCTTCGTCGCTGTTGAAACTTTCAAACCTCGCGGCCAGCCTCCGTCGATAGCCGGAACCTCATCCCGTAAACACTGGCGATTGTGTTATCTCTGTTATCGTTTCGTGATCGCTACCGGCTGCGGTCTGCGCCTCGGCGGCCAGGTTCCCTGAGACCGGTAGATGATGTCGCAGGTTCTCGAAACCTATCCACGTCCTTTCAGTGTTCTATCACTGTCTTGGTGTAATATCCATTCCCTGCTTTATTTTATGTCTACGTTGCATTAGCACCATGCCCATGTCCGCTCTTTGTCCTGTCTCGCGTCCCGTCTCGTGTCCATACTCCGTTTCCCGTCTTGTGTCTCGTCCCGTATCCTGCTCTGTGTCCTGTCCCATGGCTTTCCCCGTGTCCCGTCCCGTGTCCCGTCCCGTGTCCCGTCCCGTGTCCCGTCCCGTGTCCCGTCCCGTGTCCGTCTTATGTCACGTCTCTTGTCTCGTCGGGCCGCTCGCTTAGTTGTCCGGTCCGCCGCCGCTGCGCTGGTGTTTGTCTGTACGTTTGTGTGTGTTTGCCTGTTTGCAGCCCACTCCTGACGCCGAGGGACCGTATGTTGAGAACGGAGACCCAGTAGCGCCAACGAGCACGCCCGAGGTACGAGCTGATTTTGTTCTTTTTAGCGATTTTTTACTGGTGCTAGGGCGTCAGTGCGGCATGGCATGATAAAACCGCTTAGAAACGGGTGTCTCGTACCGTTTTAGTTAATCATTTACGCACTCATGCTTAATGTGAATAGCGATGCTCAGTGTTGGTATCCCGTTCATATATGTTATCATTTGATTGTGATCCGACCTCATTTAAGATGATTGGGTACTTGCTGTAAGGTTGAATTTTGGTTGTAAGGCTCACATTTTTTTTTTTAACGCTTAACAGCATTGCATAGAGGTAAACATTACCGAAAGTTCCTGAAATATTTTGTCTCCATGTCGTCTACATATCGTCACCTCCTGCCGCAGGGTGACGACATGGCCTTCCTGCCGGAGAACCCTTCCAAGAGCGTGGCGCTCTCCCTGGACCCGGTGCAGCCGCGGCACACGGGAACCTACACCTGCACGGCGCAGAACGGCGTCGGCAAGCCGGACGTGCTCACCGCCAAACTGGAGGTTACTCGTGAGTACCGGACCGGGTCGAACGTTAGTGCTTTAGTTATAAGAGAAACATCGTAAATGATCATAGTGGGCAAAAGGATCGACGTGGCGAAGTTACTTGGAATTGGAACACACAAATATATCAATTAAATGCTGAAGCGAGGAGATACCTATTGTCTGATGTCTCATACTGAACATACAAAATAATGAATAACTGTGCATGGACGGGGCTAGAAGGGTTGTCTGGCCCTTCTCTCGCCCTTTTCAACAGCTGGTGACCCATGGCAAACCACTTTCTCTGTCTCATGTCGGATATCCAACTGCTCACTGCTCAAGGTATTCCAAACAGACTTGGCCCATAAATATACCCCATCCGTGCGCGTATACTAACAAAGGCCTCCTGCTAGTTGCCTCACTCTGTCCATTGATTGTCTCCGCGGAACAGGTTCGACTCTCCTGTCTCTCCGGGGTCAAATGTCAGGCGCGGCGGTCAGCGGGGTGACCTCGGGTGACCTCGGGGTGACGTCGGGGTGGTCGAGGTCCGCTGACTCGGTCACAGGGCGGCATTGTGCGGTGACAAACGGTCTTCAGGTCCGTCTGCCACCCTGAATACCGCTGAACGACGGGATGGGTAGTGCTCCGAGGGTGTTATTTTTATATATTGGCGCCGATTGGAAGCTGGAATTTCTCTGGTATTCACAGGAGCCCAAAGTCTCGTCTTCCTAGGCTGCTGCTTATCTCTGTGGATGTTCAGTGACGACTTTTCACCGACACCTTAGTCCTTATGCCTGAACGCCCGTTCCTGACGGCTCCTGTCGTCTCTCTCTCTCTCTCTCTCTCTCTCTCTCTCTCTCTCTCTCTCTCTCTCTCTCTCTCTCTCTCTCTCTCTCTCTCTCTCTCTCTCTCTCTCTCTCTCCCTCTCCCTCTCTCTCCTTCTATCCCTCCCTCTCCCTCTCTTCCATCACCGGAGACCAGCAGCCGACTCAGCTGACCGCCGTAACTGCTCTGTCTGTCTGCCACGTGCCGGTGCCGACAGACGACCCACCTGGCTCCCCTCCCCTCCCCTCCCCTGGAGAATCTGCACCCCTCCCCACACCCGGGGGGACAATCCACACCCTTCCTCCACACACCCAGAGGGCGGCGCCGGGTCAGTCACCCATTGCCGGCGGTCATACTCAGGTCATCGCCGAGGGTACCACACTGTGAGTGTGAACACCTTCGACTGCGAGGTGGCACCCCGCCCCTCTCTGCCCCTCCTCTTGAGCTGTTGAGTCACGCTTGGTCGCCTCTCCGTCTACTGCTGGCACCGCGGCAGAGCGCCGAATGCGCCGGGTACGCCGCGACTGCGCCGTGGCATGTCACCGCCGCGCCGCGGCACGCAGACGGCGCACTTGGCCCGTCCGTGCGCGGAGCGGTGCAGGGGTGGAGGCGAGCGGGCGGTGAGGGTCGGTTGTGACGAATTGGTTGACAGGGGTGAGCGTCCGACGCAGCTGCCGACGGCGGAAGGTTCAAGGCGCATGCTACGGGTCATGCTGGGGAGCTGCATAGTTGGATACCCGGTTGGAGGGAAAGAAAGGTCGTGCGCTCGAGAGCCTTGCTTTCAGTGTAGAATACGCAGAGGCAGCAAATCAAACTCCGTCATTTCAGCAATGGTGGTTTGCTTTCTCCTTGCCCAAATGAGATAGAAAGAAAGCTTACCAAACCAATGAACAGCCGTTCTAGTTGTCAGCCTTTAGTACCGAATGCCGATCATGCGTCCTCGCGCTGCAGTAGATCAACTTCCTCTGGATTGGATTCAACATTGGATTCATTGCCGTGTTTGAGTGGCCGTTCTACTGTTCACCAGTCTCTCTTCACTATCAACCCATACGCAGTCAAGCACCCCAGCAGTGCGGAAATGTCACAACGGCAGGGCGGGGGTCGAACACCCTTCCGGCTCTGCATATCAGCAGGACGTGAGCTCAACTAGCCTCTGTCATCCTCCCTGGGGTTCATCCGGAGCACTGTGGTGGCGTCTTCCGTTTTCCTATCGACACGGGGGTGGACCCGACCGGATCCAGTACATAAGATAGCTCGACTTCTGATGAGCCGGCGACCAACGCGCCCCGTTGACCGCCGTTGGATGACGGAAGCGGTATAGTGTGACCGTGATTGTGGTGATGCCACCGGACGGGATTGGCGCTATCGGCCTGACCTCCAACGAGTTTTCCTCATTCTCACCACTGTGAGGTGAGGTGAGGTCAGAGCCCACTGGTTACGTCCTCCCACTGCACTTACATCGGAGTACAATGAAGTCAGCCATCCGGCGGCCGTCAGAGATGACAGCACTGACCACTGACCGGTGACACACCGTGCAGTTCAGGGAAGTCAGCGGTGGGGTCTGCCGCTCCCCAGACCCGTCACACGGCGCCGCGCGGACTGCGGCCCGCCGCGCCGCCGCCCCCGCCCCCGCCCCCGCCGGAGCTGGCCTGCACGTGGGCAGGTCGGACGGAAGCCGAGACGTCTCAAGGGGATGGGTTTCGGCCGGCGCAGAGCTGTGATAAATCGACGCCGTTTGTCATAACATCCGAGTTCAGTGTGAGACTCGTCTGAGACTGCCACTCGCTGAGTGACGAACAGCGGTCAAACACGGGGTCAGACGGATCCGGATCAAGTTCAAACAGCGCTAGGTAGCGCAGAATACTGACCTCGTGTGACGAAACTCGAGAAAATGCTGCCAAAAGCTGGCAAGCGTTGTATGGATCTTTTCCTTTTCGGATGGAATCATTTGGGGGTCGCTTGTGCAGAAGCTGGCCGTTTGTATGTGAGGTCCCTTCTTTTCCTTGATCTTCTACGAGATCAACCACATGGCTAGACGCAGAGCAGTCGGCGCTTTAAAGTGCCCGGTCGGTGCTTTCATAGGTCACTTTATATTCACCGGCTGGTGGCGTAGGTCTTTGGCAGTGTCAAATGTCACTCACCCCCAGTGTTCTGTCTGTCCGGGTCAGGCGCTGGAACGGAAACAGATCAGAGGGGAGAGCCGATAGATGCGTATCTAAAGCCGAGCACCGGCCTCCTGCCACGACATTGGGATGAAGGTCACGAACTTGGAGCTGTTTGTGATGAAAGTCGCTTCCAGACAAGTCGCTAATCGTAAATCGTTTGCTCGATTTGCGGTGAAGGTCGAAATTCTTACATATTTCAAAAGCATCTAAGCGGTGTTTATTTTTCAGAACATCTGGACGTGACGAAATTGAAACAGCATATTTAGATGTTTTTACGTTTACTTCACCGTTTGAGTGGAAGAAAATAGGCATGCGATCAATTTGCCGTCAAGGAAACTAAAATGAATACAAAAATAACTGCGAACTAATGTATCACATGTATCATGCATAATGCATATATATACACATAAGATGATTTAGACTCAAGTTGACGGGGTTCACTTGTTATGAATCTCGAATGCTCGTTACAGGAAATGCACCTATACGCCCCGAGCCCCCCCCCCCCCCAACCACCAACCTCGCCCACGATCCCTCATCGCCGTGGCCTTGGCTCGAACTTTGAGAATCCGCAGACGACCGGCCGGTGTTTCCTGTATCAGATTTCTCTCATGTCCCAGACTCCTCTCCCCTCTCGGCCGACTGCGGCGGCGTCTCTGAACTCTGGGGTGAGATCGGGGAGAGGTAGAGAAGGGAGACTGGGTTCGGAAGAAAGAGGACTGTCTGCTGGAAATGGATCGGAACGGCGGGGGTGGACGGAGGGGGGGACACCAAGGGGTCCGTGTTCTACCGTAGGAGGTTCATCTGGCGAACAGATGGTTGAAGTGGCTGACTGACTGTTCGGAAACTGCCATGCCTATATATAGTTCTGAAGCCCCTGAAGGAGATATCGTAGTACTAATGCAATTTACAGTGTAAACGGGAATGGTGACCGGTGTTGTCAGTCTTATTTTGTTTCATTCATTCATTCGTTCAATTGCATTTCAGAACATTCACCTTCGCCCAGACGCAGTCAAATGTATTCCTTGCTTCGGTCCCCTATGTCCACCTTGCATCTTTCCCTCGAACTCACCCTGTACCGTACCGCCTCCGTGCTATCTCTGTTCTCACCGGTGTCGTCTTATGTCCGCAGACGCGCCATACATCGCCCAGGACACGGGAGTGGTCCGGACCGCTCACGGTATGACTGCAGAGGTCGGCTGCAAGGTGTTCGCCAACCCCCGAGCCGAGGTGAGCTCACGGACTAGGCTGGACTCCGACCTGCTGTCAAGTCCCGGATTTATTTTAATTCAACGGACTTATTTTGGCTCCAAGCTGACTTTTTTGGCTAGGTTCTTTCGATCTGACAAGACAAGCCCTCTTCGGTCCAAGCGGAGGTGAGCTTACCGACCAGTCATGGCTCCGAGCCTATAGGTGAGCGTAAGCTGCCATCTGTACTAGCCAGAAGCCACTGCCCGAGAGCCACAGATCAGATGAATTCGACGATTATATAGCAAAGCTATCGTCGCCGTGCTTGAAACATGAATGAATGGGACGTGAATGCCCATGACGTCGAAACCTGTTTGTTCACCTCGAGAGCAGCCAGGCACCTGACGCTCGCAGCGCCACCTGTCGTAACTGTGTTTCTGATTTTGTCCGCCAGGTGATCTGGCAGCGGAACGGTCACGATCTGCCCATCAGTTCCCGGTACGAAACTGCCGTGTCCAGCCGCTATTTCTCGCTGAGGATCCGTGACGTGAAGGATGAGGACTTTGGCAACTACACGTGCCGGGCCAAGAACCAGCTGGGACAGAACGAGAACCACATCACGCTGACAGGTACGGAGCGTTGGCGAGAGGCACTGACAGGGCCGTACTATCACCGTTTTGTGTGATCGCTGCGAGACCTGAAAAGTAGTAAAGCTGAAAAATTGATAGAATAAAATCAGAAGTATGCTTGCTGGCATTTCACAATGCACAATTAATGAGAGAGTCGACTCAAGTCATTCGTGGTAGATATTACGGCCTAAGGGTACACAAATCACTAAAGTAACGACTACCGTTCACTGTCCTCTGAATCTTTGACAGATTACTTTGTGATAAGTGCTGAATAAGAAGCAGCTACCTGTAACCGTGTACCACGCGATGTCGGCTGTTCCTTCACTCTGTGCGCGTCCTGCAGGTCTGCCGGGCCCGGTGGAGCTGCACCTGGGGAAGCCCAGCGAGGCAGAGAGTGGACGAGGTCAGAGCAGCACCACCGTCACCTGGGAGTTCATCAGCTACTCGACGGTGGAGGAGACGTCCGTCACGCTGCAGCCGCTGCTGCCGGTACGTAACGTTACGGTGTCTCACTGTCACGCCGTTACACAATCCGTGACGCTGCAGCCGCTGCTGCCGGTACGTAACGGCACAGATTCCGTCGCACTATCCGTTACACAGTCTCACCATCAGTCATACTGTCGGTCACATTACAACCGTCTGCTGCTGTTTTGGGGGCGGATAATACTGCGGACGTCGTGGGGAAAGCGTGAGGACAGAGGTCTTGCGACGGAACTGAGCTCTTAATTGAACGACAGACCATCACGGGAGACTGGCTGAATCGTGTCCAATGAGAACTGCAGTCCTGAAAAAACTGAGGGTACATTTTATGATATATGCCATGCATAACGCGACCTCACCCTCCCAGCACTGACTCTGCCCCCCCCCCCCTTCCTCGACAGGCCGGTTTCCCCGAGATCCGGCGAGTACCCACCGTCACATCCCGCTCCGTCTCCAAAAAGGGTCAGCAGCAGCTGTCGCCACTGAACGAGAACACCACCTACCTGGTGCGGGTGGCCGCGCGCAACCAGTACGGCTGGACACCGCCGGCCGATGTCTACTTCAGCATCACGGACGGAGAGCTGAAAATCACTCAGGGTGAGTGGCGCCGGATGGACAGCGCCCGGTCAACGGGAGGGTGAGGGGGGCGAGGGAGGGTGAGGGAGGGAGGGAAGGAGGGAGGGAGGGTGAGGGCAGGGAGGGAGGCAGGGCGGGGGAGGGAGAGAGGGAGGGAGGGAAGGAGGGAGGGAGAGGGAGGGAGGGTGAGGGCAGGGAGGGCAAGGGCAAGGAGGAAGGGCAACGAACAGGGCGAGTCGCAATACGTGACCTCCGAGGGTTCTATGCTCAATATTCATGATATTGACTGTTCGGCACCGGTGCCTGATTTTCTTATAATCAGCACCCCTGGTGGCTATTCCTGACACTAAAGCTTCCGTTTTTTTTCGTTGCAGCGCCACCGAAGCTGGCCGAGTCGAAGACAGCCAGCGACGCGGCAGCGCGGCTAAAGCTCACGCCCATCCTTCTCATCGCCATCCTGTCGAGTTTTTTCTAGTAATCACCTATGAGGTGAGTGCTCACTTTTCCCTCACCTGTGAAGTGAGCCTGAGGTGAGGAGGTCATCCTCCTGGACCTTTCAGTTCCGATGCTTACCTAATGGTCCGTTCGAACTGCTCTCCAGTTGGTCAAAGTCGATGGAATGTGTGGTGTTTTCGCCAAACATGCTCGTTTGCTGAGTGTTTTGTTTGAGATTTTTTCCATTCACTAACTGTTGTTGTTTGTGCCCCGGCAGTGAAGGTCGTTCAGAGATTGTGCCACTCGCACTACCCACAGTGACTAACCTCGTTTTGTATCCGTTTGCCACACCGCTCACAAAAACAGATTCACAGGCCACAACTTCAAAATTGGTGTATCAGAGTCATAAATCATACTAAAGATGCGACAATTTCGGGTCAGATTTCTTACCCTTCGTATTGGGTATTGCTCGCATATTGATATGTAAAAAAAAACGGCATAAACTGTGTACCCTTTACCCATTTTACGTACGCATACAGCCCTCGTCTCAATGTGCGATAGGTATCTACCACGTACTGAGAGGAGGACTGTATTTACCCGCAACGGTAGTTGTTTTTAGCAGACAGTGCATATCATTCGGATCGCAACATACATCAATTGCTGGCGTTTTCTGTTCCATGTCCCGCTTATTAACCCGTAATAACCGTATTTTTCAGACTGCCAACACCCTGCTTTGAATAGGTGAGTGGCGATTTTGCCAACTAACCATGCATGGAGCGTGCATCGGAGGGCCTCAGTAGGTGTATGTGTTTATCAGGAATCAGCCATAAGGCCCTGCCTCGTCGGCGCTCTGCGAACGATTGACATGTCACCCATTTAGAGCGTAGCAATGTTTCCGGAGGGTGTAACATACCGTGTAAACGTAAAGGTGCAAAAGTCAAAAGATTTAGTGAGGCAGGCGTAAATGCCATAAAAAGTAGGTACTATTCCGCCTCACAGCGTATCTCATTTATGCATTTAAATGCGCTCTTAAATGCCAGCCTATCAGGAGTATGTCGCAAGCTGGACTACGCGCTCCCCGCAGCCGCTGACTGTCCATCTTCTGCTCCGCAGGTCGGAAAGAGAATCCTGTGCCACGTCAGCGCGCACGTCCTCTTCAGCGAGGAGATGGGAGGACGTGACGTGCCCTTCTGAGCACGGCCTGCCGCGTGACGTCTCTGAGACGTAACGTGACGTAGGCCGTCTCTGCAGAGGGCGGCGCTGGCGGGGCGCGGAGCCGCGGCGGAGCGGCCAGTGGAGCCGCTCCTCGGAGACCAGCCGTCCAGCCCGGCCCTCAGTCGGCACCGGCACAGAGCCATCGGCACAGCGGCTACTGACAGATAGCTGCTGCCCAGCTGCCAGACAACCAGCTGCTCAGCTACCAGACAACTGTTCAGCTGTCAGACAACTAACAGCCGCCGCCAGCGGCAACTGTAGCTTCCAAACAACCAGCTGTCACTGCTGTTGCCAGGCAACCAGCTATTACATCAAGCAGCTGTGTTACCCAATGTCTGACGACGAACTGAAGTTGCTTTTCGTAGCCGGGTAGTGTTATTTCGTTGCTAAGCAACCAGAACCGCTGTCGGACCGCCGGCTGAGGAGCCACCTGTTGCCGCGACGGTTCTCTTGCGACCACATAGGTGACAGAGACAATGTGAACTGGGACAGAGACGACGTGAACTGGGACAGAGACAATGTGAACTGGGACAGAGACGATGTGGACAGAGCGCGCGCGCACACACGATACCGGTGCAACTGTGATGGTTTCTATATTGTTGGAACGTGTGCCAAGGATGAGTGCGGATGTAAGTGTATGTGAGTGCGGCAGTAGTGAGGCTGAGGAGAAAACATTGAGTTGAGTTCTCGGTGTTTGAAGGCACTGTGCGGGTTGAAGAAACAACGAGGGCTAGGGGTGTGAACTTTTATCTGCCCGTGCCCCCGTCATGTTCTGTATGGATCGTTCGATTCATTGATTTGAACTGGTCGAAACTGCCATCGACGGGCGAGAGATACTAAATGCTATTGTGAATGTCATCGCTTTACACTGTAGGCTGGGTGAATCGGTGAGCACATGGAATGTCGTACAACGAAAGCTACCTATGCTTCACAACCGAAGCGTGCTTGTGTGTCCTTGGCATGCATTTATATCGGTGCGTTTGTATTATATCTTTGTCGGAGTGAATGCACGCATTGACGTATCGAATTCGTATCATCGATAAAAAATACATTTCGTCCATCGATGTTTCGAAGGGGTCTTTTTCAAGTACTTCATACGTTCCCGACGGCCATCCTAGCACGTTTGAGACTGGCAATGTCGTATAATGATCGTCTTAAAGGGACCCTCCCACCTTCAAAAAAGTTAATGAATTGGCATGAAAGTGATGTCGCTCGGTTCAGAAAGAGCAAAAACGAATATCTACCAAATTTCATCGAAAAATATTCACCGGTTTTCAAGATATTAGACTTTTACTTTTGTTTACTTTTTGGGATCTCCGCTGTTCCTAGCGACTTTATTTGAAAGTGCGGCATTTGTTGCGCGCAAAGCAGCATATTCCATCGCGTGCTACAAAACGTTTTAGTCAAACATTTAACGGACGTTCGAAAGCCTGATGACGTCATCAGATTCCCGTAATGGTTAAGAGATAGGGACCACGCTGGTCCCACCCTGCAAGTAAAGGAAAGAAATTTCTTGAACACCATAAAGCTGCGGGGGTTGCGACCAGGATAAATGGTGGTTTCTGAGCCTGGCCGCAAACTTGGCTATCTCAACTCAAAACTAATGTTAAGGTGGGAGGGTCCCTTTAACTTGTCGATGACAGATTGTTCTACATTACCCGGTTAAAACCATTCGATACTGGATCGTATAGAAACGTGACAACGGCATTTTAAGACCAACGGAGCTGAATGGATAATGGTCCAAAAAGGAAATCAATGTACAATACGTTGGCTCAGCCAACACTTTATTCATTTTACATTAAAATTAGCACAGAGAGAAAACCAGCCGTTGTATGAGGCGCGACGTGAGATACACAATGTCCATCTGAGCGCCGCCGAGCGCTCTCCACGTCCTTCCCATCGAGTCCCGGCGGTGCTCCCCGCTTCCCGCACCACCGACCCCCTCACTTGAACACCACCGTGTCCAGCATGGCGCCCAGACACTGAACGATGTTGGACGTCATCAGTGTGCCGACCTTCTCCTCTAGATGGCGCTTGGGGTCCATCTTGCCGACGTTCTTGATGGCCAGCTGCTCGGGCGTCATGGACTCCTCATCCTCGAGCGACTTCTGGTAGTTGACGGCCAGGTCCAGCATCTGCTTCACCGTCTTCTCGTTGACGTCGCAGTGCTGGCGGTAGTCCTGCAGCTGGAGGCCGTCCATCCACGTTTCCTTGTTGAGGTTCATCAGCATCCGCTGCTCCAGCTCGTTCTTGCGGTAGTTGATGGAGATGGAGTAGTAGTGCCGGTTCAGGCCGTGGATGAGCGCCGGAAGCGAGGGCTTCTGCAGGTGACCCAGGTTCGAGGTGGTCTGCCGCGGCTCCTGGCCCAGCACCATCACGTTCGGGTTGATGAGACGGAACGCGTCAATCACCACCTTGCCCTTGACGGACTGGATGGGGTCGACCACCACGGCCACGGCGCGCTCTGAGAGGGCCTCGAAGCTCTGCTGGGTGTTGATGTCGACACCGGAGAGCCAGCAGCCGAAGCCCGGGTGGGAGTGGTACCAGCCGACCACCATCTCCGGCCGGCCCGTCTGCTTCAGCATGTCCAGCATCTTGGCCTGGAACACCGGGTCCACGGCCTCCACGGATACGCCAGTACCCGACTGCGGCATGGCGAACACGTCGATCACACGCACCGTGTACTCGTCGACAAACTCGCCCAGCATCAGACCCATCACCTCCATGGGCACGCCGGCGCGGCCGTGCTTCAGCATCTTGAGCAGCGCCAGGGACGAGATGTACACCTGCTCGGCTGTGTCCACCGTCGGCCCGTCGCCGGACGGCGCCTGCTGGCCCAGGTTGGGCATCCCGCCGCTCAGCCGCAGTATGCGGTCCATGGCCAGACAGCACCTGGGGAAAACACAGGAGCCGTGGGGTCAGCGGGGGCGGGTGCGATCAGACCAGCATGGGTAGCACGGGGTACAGGTTAGTGTCGACACAGGTCGCCTGGTAGTTCGAGCATTTCATGTCATGACTGGCTGGTCAGTACAGATCACATGGTCAGGTTACAATGGATCACTCTCAGTGTTTGGTCTATCGTTTCCAGGCATGGTCCCTGCCCTGGAGAGTAAAATATAGGTAGTCAGAGAATCATGACTTGCATGTTTCGATAAGAAGCTAAGAACTGCCTGCAGTACAGTACCAAATAACTACTGGAAACTAGACATTACAGTTTCAATCAGAAACCCAGAAAAAAGTCCTAACTTTTTTAAATTTAGTCCGAACCTTTTGATAGGAAGGATTCACAAGGACAGAGCCACCGCCCACCGCTAAGCGAAGCTTGTTCGGTGACCCTGCCCTCTACCCTCCGATTGAGCAATTCCAGTTCTATGGCAGAATTTAGAGTCCAAGGTTTAACGTGCGCACATAGCCGCGCACGGCCGGTCCCCTCACTGACTTCTCCTGGCTACGGCCTGCCACCAACCGCAACCATACCTGTCAGGAGGCCCATTAATGTCAAGCGCCCGTCGCGCTTCGAACCCGGACTGTTATAACCGGGAACGCGTGCTCTCACCACGCGGAGTCCAACGCTCTACCAACTGAGCTACGGGACCGGCTAAAATGCTTTAAGATGTAAAAAGAGATCTAATTTAAAACATTAAGCTTTTGTCAAATTAGTCAGGTCATAATCATACATAACATACATTGTAAAATAAAGAATAAATGTGAGTCGCAGTGCAAATATAAAATTTAGTCACAGATGCCATATGAACTAAGTACCCTTAAGAATAAATTCCAGCAAAAAATACAGAGGTTGTCAAAAGGATGTCCCTTTTTACCCCAAGGGAGAGCATGATATACATTTCAATTTATAACCAATCACCAAACAAGTTAACAAAAAATAAAAAATAAAGTCACTGAGCTGTTTTCTTTGTTGTTAACTCTTCTACCCTAAAACAATCCTGGCACTAGAAACTCAAATAATTTAGTCCAAGCTTTCAGCATACCAGCAATAAATTTGGAAATTGGCATTTTAGCCTGTGATACAGTTGTGCATTTTGTTAGGGAAATTACAGATGACTTTGGTCCAAAATTGTAACTAGAGCCGCATTAAATGTCTATGAAGTGTGACACCTGTTTTACGACTACCAAAGATTCTACATCATCCAGCCAATGCCGTTCCAATTTTCAAACGTCATTGGCCCAGAGCATGTAGAATCTTTATCATCTGAGACATCAAATGTGGCCTGGGTACCTTAGCTTCATTGCTCCATGTAAGCCAAAATGGGGACCAAGCCAGAAGTCTGAACCTTTTCCAAAAAATGTGCTTGCTTAAAAGCTTTACTGACTTTAATCAAATAATGCATGGTCTTCCTGTTTTGACTGACATAAAAGTGCTGACTTTGGATTATTTATGTTCCATTTAAAGTGATATTTATCAAATTACAACAAATGAAATTCAGTTCAGGACCTACAACATGAGTCGTAAGGATCTATTCACTATCGTTGAGCAAAATATAATCAAGTTCTTTCATCGCGTAGGAAGGGAGCATTGGCTCTATAGGAATCTTGCATTGCAATTCAATGGAAAATAATCATTTGCCTAGTTGTAGCACAAAAGAAGGCAGGGAACAACGTTTTACCGTACCTACCTACCAAGGTACCTATATCAAGGTACCTATATCAAAAGGTAGGTAGAGTGTGATATAAAAACACTCTACCTACCTTTTACAAACGTCAGGAAAGTCTCACAAGCCGAATAACACAGCAACGTTTAGGAGATTTATGCTACCAACATATATGATGCGACTCAATAAATAATATGTTCAAGACAAAGACACATCAATTACAAAACAAGGCTATATCAATATAATGTAGAACTCCGTACAGAATGCCAAAATAAATTCGCTAATGCCGGCGATGACTGGCGTCAGGGACAAATGTGGATCCACTCATGCGCCGCAACTGGCGATTCTTATTTTGCTGACATAAAGTAGTTGAAAAGGAAATGCAACACTATTCAACTGCAATCCTCGCAATTATCATATAACTCAGCATTTGCTGAGTTTATTGCACTCATAATTCCTATATTGGTATATTACATCAATTTTCATCATTCCAAATGTAAGTTGGGGCTTAGCTAAGCGTGAAAACATCGTTTGACGACTGACGTAGGTAATTCATTTAGGATAAAACCCGTAATCGCCGCGCGCTGTAGGTAGGTATGTGGAAGGCTTGTGATGTAAGTAGGTTGTACCTACATAGATATCATACATTGCACACAATTCACAAACAAACATGCATGCTGGTCAATTTGACAGCTGGACCTGATGACTCTGGTGTATTGGCCCGATGTCCCTTTGTTTGATTGTTTATTTCCCTTAGGTAAAGTGAGAGAGAGAGAGAGAGAGAGAGAGAGAGAGAGAGAGAGAGAGAGGGGGGGGGGAGGGGAGAAGAGAGGCGGAATGTTTATCGCAGCTCGCCTCAGGAGAGTACTTCAGATCTCTTCTGGCTCATCGAAGCCCATGTTTTGACAATCAGCCCTCCGAGCGCCGGCTAATTGGTCGTCAAATGATCGAACGAGGCCGGTAGACGACACTGACAGAATGTGGCCACTCTGTTTATCACGCACTGGTAGTGGGACGCCGCGCTGCCCAGAATTAGGTACTTACCTATAACGGAAGCCTGTCCGAAACCTGACCGGAATCGGAGTGTCACCGTCTGGGACCAACGGGCCTGTCCGATGGCCGATAGCTGGGGTAGGCCTGGCATGAGCCTCCCTCTGCGCTGGCACCGTTCGGTCGCCTGAAGCGCCGAAAGCAGAGGAGGGGAAACAAAAAGCGGTCGGGAGCGGCAGCTATAGGACGGCCGGTCAGTCTGCGATAGGAGGCCGCGGCGTCTCCACGGTTTGTGTCGTCTCCACCGAGCTGTCCTCTCCCGAAAGGTGAGTGCTGAGTGCTACAAGAAAACATTCAGACACACACACACACACACGCCAAACCGGCTGTGACCTCTCGGTCCCCAAACGTTTATTCAGTGTCTCATTTCGCATGGCCGATCCGTAAACACTAAAAGACGTTTACTTCTGTATATGATAATGTATTATCATATATGTCGGTGCAGTTCAAATAAATTGTACGGTGTCGAATACGATTCGAATGCAATTGGGCGGCCCGAATAAATCAATCTTCGGACACTTCGTTAGGTATACGTTTTGGTGTCTGCTAATTATCCTCATGCTGGCACATCGCTTCGACGTCCGTTGAATCATCTTCATCCTCCGAGAACTTTACCCGTATATCTCGTTCAATTGTGCTGTACATAGATGTTTTCCCTTCGATATTAAATGATGGTTGATTCAGCGAGCCGGTGGCGAGGTGGTAATATTCATCCTATTCTAGCTATGTTGAATGGTTCTAAGTAATAGCACAGCCTTCGAGTTATTCTCGGTTTTGTCGAAAAAAAAAAATTGGTAGGTACCTAAAGCCGGCAGGAGGAACTCTGCGCCTATTTAGGGTGTTGTGCCGGTGCGTCATCAGAGCGTCGCTGAATAGACAGGTTCGTCGAGGCAGCTATATCGATCGAAGAGGGGAGGGGAGGGGAGGGGACAGGAGGGGAGGGGAGGGGCCAGCCGAGCGGCCCGACGCGTCAGCACTCGTGTCTGAGCCGCAGCCCCTCCAACAGTGCGCTGTGTTGGTGTGCTGTTCCTGTTCCCCAGAGAACAGAAGATGTTAGTGTCGTGTGAATTGTTTGTAACCGGCAGCGGAGCGAAAAGTAATCCAGTAACCACATCGCAATAAAACTGCAGAGACGACCGATTTCCAACCAGTGAGAATCTTTTGTCCGAAGGTATCTAAAGCCACCTTCATCATAGTGTACTTAATATGGATCGGATATTCGTTACTACAAGACTATCTCCACAGGTATGTTTCGTATGTATTTAATTGTGTCAACGGAGCCATTAGAAGTGCTTTTGGTCCATTAGAGTTGCATGTTAAGTTGCTGTTTATAAGTGCGACGTTCATTGCTTTATTTTTTGCCGCTACGTTTTGAGCGGACAGACTTGAGACCGAATCCTAGCTACAGGGGCGGAGTAATGTCATGTATATCCCAGGGGGTGCCTTTCCAGCATCTGGCAAATGCAAGCGTCCAATTCTTGCGTGGAATTTGGAAAAAGCACATATAGGCACGTTTTCTCAGCAGCATCACTCTCCTCGCGACAACCACCCCTGCCGAGCCACCTATGTAATATGTTTCTAGCGCCTAGTTAGCATCTGTTGATGCGTGTCCGCCGTCTACCGTTTGCTATAGTTTCAGCAAAGGCCCTAAAACTACGTTTCAGCGACGCCTTCGAGTCAGTTTACACGTGTATTTGTCATTGCTATCGTTTTCGATAGGCGGTAGACGATAGACATAACAACCACCCAACACGAACAAAAGATACCTCGCCGACAACACTCCCATCCACCAATCACTGTCCGCGTTAGTGCACCGCCGGCGTCCGCTGGTATTTGTATTGTAATTTCGTCCGCTGGGTAGCTGTTCAACGGATGCTCCACTCCAGGGGTCGGCAACCTACGGCCCGCGGGCGGATCCGGCCCGCGACGATCTGACGTCCGGCCCGCGGCTAGTATCAGCAGCTAACATTATGTTCCGGCCCGCAGAATTCCTTCAGAAATCGACTTTATCATACAAAAGGTACTACAGTGTGCAATTGGCACAATACAATACAATGGAGGACTTCCTACGCCATCTGATATCTGATATCTGATATCTGATATGTGCCCAGCTAGCAATTTAGTTTGGTTCAATTTTGTTTTGCCCCGGCAACTCCGACATGCCAGACTCGAGCCGTTGTAAACGGAACGCCTTCGGAACAGGGGTTTGGGTCGCTGTGGCTCTCTATTCCGGCTAGCCAGCCTTTGCCGTAGCGCTGCGCTCCAATTGGTATGGTTTCGTACCGTCAAATACGGCTCAAGTCCGGCTGTCTGCGAAGGCTAGGTCCGGCTGTCTTCGTAGCTGCTCTGGCTTCCTGTGGCTGAAGTACGGTTGAGGTAAGGCACGGCTGCTACGGCTTACGTCTGATTGTGGTACGAGCGAGCTCCGGGATCGCGTGTCGGCTCCAGTAGAGCCCCAGACCCTGCCCGTACCTCGGCCGGAGTAAGATGCCGCAGCTAGCCAGAGTAAAACCAAATACGGCCCAGACTTATTTTGTTGGCTGAGCCAGACCTTGCCAGTACTTCGGCCGGAGTAAAAATGCTGGAGCTAGCCAGAGTAAAACCAGATACAGACCAATTTTGCTGATTGGGAGGTATCTGATCAGATAATAAAATATACAAGACCATTCCATATCTTTTCGAACTCTCTTTTTCTTCAGCCAGAATCTGTGTGAAAAAGGTGCGTTTTACCCTATGACAAAAGGCAAAACATGTGAGCTGTCACAGCTAAAAATTCACTTGTAACGCTGACATATTTTTCAAAATTTTCGTGTCATTGAAGCACATTGGAAACATCAGGCTCCGGCCCACCGTCTGCTTCTAATCTCATATCCGGCCCGCACCATAAAAAGGTTGCCGACCCCTGCTCCACTGCATAGAGCTGCCACTTAACATACACAAATCGGGACCGAGGTGAGCGGGATGGGTTCGCTGCAGTTTGCAGCAGCACAAGGTCAGGCAGCGGGCCTCTCAGAGATGACGGTAGTAACCGGTCCGACTCCGAGCGGCGACTCGGGCCGGCGCGCGCGGGCTGGCTTTGTGCTGTGCACGGGCCGGTTCGACGACGTACGTTCCTCTGTTATCGTGCAGTTCGAGTGGCTGGTCGGCGGTGACGGGATCGGACTCGCAGTCAGAGTGGACCTCGCCTCAGACGCAGAGGATAGCGGAGACAGTCTGACGGGTTGTGATTCTCCAGTGCGGGAGCTATACCTTCGGCGTGGTCGTGTCCTTAACAGTTCAGTGGCACAGGTAAACAGATACAGATACAGATACAGATACAGATGTGTATTCATCTAGGATCCACAATAAAAGTGGCTTTTCACCAGACACGTAAAACCAGATAAAACAAGGAACATACAGACAGTACGAGTAGGCATAGATATCACTGGCAAACACAAACAAGCGTGCGACTGGAACAGGTTCAGACAGCTACTCGGCGTCTCGACATGATCACACGCTTCACATTGGCGCGAAACGCTGGTATATACGGGCTCAACTCGGCACCGTTTAACATCGCGACTCCTCTAATACATAGTCGACGTCTCCCCGTCTCTGTTCGGGCCCGTGGCTGTGTTATCAGCCCTGCGTTTCGGGTGTTGTGGTCGTGTATGTCGCGGGCTACAGGACCGATGGTATCACTGATATGTTCAGGAGTACCCGATGTGATGGCTCGGTGGACTGCGCAGATAGTGTGGTACTCGGCTAATTCGTCTGCCCGCAGCCAGCCGAGCTGCTGTATGACGTCAGAGATGTGGTCGCTGCGTCTACGGCCACTGACGACTCTGGCACAGAAATTGAGAATTTTCTGGACACGAGCCATCTGGGTCGCACCGCACGACCCATACACGCTTATACAATACCGCACGATCGATATGACTAGGGCTTGAACAACTACCTTACGTGTGTTTGCTGGCATCATGTGGCGGGCATGACTGAGAGCGATTAAAATTCCTGTGCATTTTGATGCCATGGCGGTGATGTGAGCTTGATAGTTCAGATGGCGGTCGAGATAAAGTCCGAGGTTCTTCACCGTCCCTGCATCGACTACAGTTGAACCACAAAAGTTGACAGTGACGGGCGGGAGTCCACGCAACATTGCTGGTGTGCCCAACACCAGCATCTGTGTTTTGGCGGCGTTAACTTTCATGCCATTGTGGCAAAACCATCGGTAGGCGGCGTCGAGTGCGGCCTCAGTGCGTGAAATGATACAATCCAAATCCCGTTTCTTTCCAGTGACCAAAATTTGAGTGTCATCTGCAAACTGTACTATGGTGACTCCGTCGGGCATGTGCAGACTGAGATCGTTAGCAAAAAGCATGTACAAGGCACAACTGAGACTACCTCCCTGGAAAACACCAATGGTGTTTTCTCTCGGTCGGGAGGTGATGCTGGAGCCGTCAGCGGCTCGGACTCTGACCTGTTGCACATGCCCAGACAAATAGTTAGCGAACCAGTCGGTGTCGATACCGTATAGGCTAAGTTTTTGCAGGAGTTTTTGGTGAGACACGACATCAAAACATTTTGAAAGATCCAGTAAGACCAAAATTGAAATTTCACCGTTGTCCATGGACTGAAGAATGCGGTCAGTAATGACGTGGAGGGCCGTCTCAGTGGAGTACAGTCTCCTGTACCCGTGTTGTTCGGCTGCCAGCAGAGAATGCTCGGATAGGTAGTCGATCAGCTGGGTTTGAACTATGCGCTCAACTATTTTCATTATGCCTGGTAAAATGGAAATAGGGCGCGTATCTGCTGGCGTGTTCCCTGCTTTGCCTTTCGGTATTGGTGTCACTATCGCGTGCTTCCATCCAGGTGGAATGAGACCAGTCGATAAACTGGAGTTCACGATGTCGAGAATAGCATGGCCAATGCCGGGAAAAAACGTCTGCAACATTCTAACACTAACACCGTCAACTCCGGTGGCCGTTGACGGTTTCATACTGCACAGGTAGGGATGATAATGAGGTAACTGTTTTCACAGAGACTCTGAAGCCGTCTGGACTGGACGGACTGGCGAGGGACGATCGTCCTTTCTCAGCTGCTGGCGGCACAACCTACCGTTGACCGCTGACCGACTCCCGGGTCTCTTCTGATCACCTCCGAACGTCAGCCGTAAGCTACTTATCGGTGTGTTTTGATGCGCTTCAAGTGCCCATTACTCGTTTATTTTTATCTGTGACATGTTTGGAGATGCATGTGCCTGTTGTGTATAAAAAGGCTAGATATACGTGATACGACTAATCGTGCATTGGATAGGTACTGATTTTAACACGCGCACCGACGGGGGGCGGATATCCGCCCCCCTGAGGTTTTTCGCAAATAGCGGGAAAACCGCGGCGCGTAGCGCCGCGAAATTTGGTACGACTATTCTCTCATGAATCTTACACATGGTGTGCAAGTTTAAACCTCCTAACTTTTAAGGTCAGGTCACCAGGTCACTTTGAATGACCCAGCATCAAGTCACTTTTTTGCAACTTTGTCACCGTGCCAGAGCTACAGTAGATGTCGGAGGCCTTTGAAAGTCGCAGGATGTTATAAGGTCATTAGTAGCTAAAATTTGTATATCTCGGAATTTTTATATCGATGACCTAAGGTCAGGTCAATTTCTCGACCTCCCCATTATAAGTCAATGGGGGAAAATCAACTCCCTGTTTTTTACCACTAAAACGGGTCGGAATGGCCCCATAAACCATACATGACCTCATATACGATCAACCTTCACTACCTTGAGGTCTGTTTTGCTGTTGGGCAGCTGTAAGGTCATGTGACGTCATCAAAGGTCACCAGCGGTTTTTTGACAATGCCTCTGTACAGGAACAAGATACAGCCGCGCGGATGGTCTCATTGTGTTCAGCTCGTCAAGGCGCATCGAATGACATACATGATGGACGGGGGGGGGGGGGCGGTCATCCGCCCCCCCCCCGTCGGTACGAAGTTGGCGCAGACCCCCGTCGGTGCGCGGGTTAATAGTCAACCAACCAATACAAATGCATTCAAAATTTATTTGATTAAAAAGACGCACAAAACAGAGAACCATGATCTCTGTACAAATGAGTACAAATACTTGCTGTAATCGTCTTACGAATTAACATCAATCGATCACGAGAAAACCCGCGATACACGGCCTCTTGTCAAGCGGTGATCGGCTCTTGAGGACAATCTAATGAAAGTGATGCTTCTATTTTTTATATATTGATAAGAAAACGGTGATTTTTTTTTTTGCAGCTACTGCGATGTCGGCATTCAACGTTCAAATCGAACGCGCTCCATTCGGAGTGCTTTCCGAGAACGGCTTTGATGCCCAGGTGGACAAGTTTCAGTTGACCGGTGAGTATTTACCAACTGACATATAGGTACAGAAACGCGTAAGTCTGGGTACCTTATTCGGCTCTATGCGAAACAGCACAGATAGGTACACTTGTGCACCTGTTATCACGGATTGGTATGATCTCTGATCGCCGGAAAGTTTTCAAAATATTTTTGAATTTTTACACAAACTAGAGTGACATCACATAAAAAGTATGTTCAAACACATAAAATTTACCCAATCTTCTAGTTTCTACCCAATCGTGCAATAAGTCATTTTCATTCCTTGCTGACGACTACGTCTACAGTTGGTTCTCCCTCATCCAGTACAGGACGGTGCCCGAATGACGAGCTCCGGACGATATCCAAGGTGCGTGCTTATAATCACTCCCCTGCACCTTGTTCAGCACCAGAGTGCCCCACCGTCCACCACGCGCCGTGCCGGTGGTAGTGAGGACCGTAAATTCATCCAAGGCTCTCAGCCAGGGCATCCTTTTCTCAATGCCGCTGTCTTCGTAATCCCAGCTATCAAACTTGCGCACGAGCCTGATCTGCGTCTGTTGTCCCGTCTCGTCCACGAAGCTGTATTGTCTCGGAGCGAACCAAATGCCGCCCCAGCGCTGGCGGCCCGTCTCCGCCTGCGCCTCGATCCGGTAGGCGAACCGGGTGTCGTTGCCCAGGTCGCGGATGGCGTCACCGAGCTGGAGGATCGAGTAGTTGTCGGTGAGCGACGGCGAGCGATCGTTGCGTTGTAAAACACTGAGCAGGTCCCAGCCGTCCCTAGACACAGCCGTCAGCAGCAGCGTCCAGCCCCCGCCGTCGTGGCTGAAGTCGCACAGCACCGGCACCGGCATCCCGGTGAACCAGTAGACGCCGTCCTGAGGGTCACCGCCCTGGTCCCGCAGCTGCAGACAGGAGCGAGCGCAGGCAAGCACCTCTGGTCGCTGATGGGGTGCCTGTTCTGCCGGGATCGGGCGCGGTGAGCGCTCACAGGTGGGCTCCGAGTCCGGCGCAGCGGTACTGGCGACCGGCTGCTCCTGGAGCGCCGTCACCGCCGACCTCAGCGCAGCCGTGTCCTCCAGAACCTCATCCAGTCGCCGTTCCAGTCGGGTGAGTGACCTGCCGGCCTGCGCGGCGTCCCTGGCGTCCAGCGCGCGGCCTACCGCTTCCTTCACGACGGGTCCGAGCAGTTCCGTCAGCTGGGCGGCCGCTGACGGCGGCGGAGAGTCAGACGATACAGCCCCGGCCAGCACGGAGAGCACCGCCAGCGCTCCGCACCACGTCTCCATAATCCACGGGCCCGCGGCCTATACACGGGAGCTGCAACCCAGGACGGCGGCCCTGCGAGTGTGGCACTGTGGTGGCCACTGGCCGACCGTTGCAACACGGTCGCTTTGGCGCAGCGGCCGTGTCTGGCGCTCGCGCAGTTACTGGTATTTCCGAGCCCGTCCCTGCTCCGAGGTCTGATGTTTATAATACACACCAGCCGGCACCGAACCCCACTGTCGGGAAGCCCGTGACGGAATTCCATCAGTGCTGTATTTATTTACACTGGAGACCGATGATGGGCCAATCGGGCCAGCCCGAATGTCTCAGTGTGTTTGGGCACACAATAAGTCTGGCTGATTCAATTTGTCAATCTTAAACAGACTGTCAAATTGTTTCTGGCAGGTATGCCAGTGAGTACAGTAGGTCTAAAAAATAAGTCCCCGCCGTATGCAGGTCACCAGTGGGCAGGTAGTGCCTGAGCGCTACTCGGGCGCCACCTGCCCGCATACGGAGAGGACTTATTGTGTAGACCTACTGTACATACATACCTTATCTAGGGAACATATATCCGTATGCATGTATGTGCATTGTGCAGTGTGCACCTCATATATAGAACTTGGGTAAATATTACAACACCCGTCCCAGTACTGATGTCAAGAACCGCAGCCCTGACCCCCCCTCTGTTCCCGCGCAGGTACGTTGCCCGGTCGCACCCAGCCGGCTCTGGTGGCTGTCGTCTGTCCCCTGGGAGCGACTTTACTCTCCCTGCTCGTACCAGATGAGGACGGAAAAATGGATGACGTCACACTGGGCTTCGACACGCTCTCAGGTAACGCACGGATCGGCCGTCTGCTTTGCATGGAGAGAGAGGGAGAGAGATTAGGGAGAGAGGGAGGGAGAGAGATTAGGGAGAGAGGGAGGGAGAGAGAGAAAGAGAGAGAGAGAGAGAGAGAGAGAGAGAGAGAGAGATGGAGAGATAGAGATAGAGAGAGAGAGAGAGAGAGAGAGAGAGAGAGAGAGAGAGAGAGAGAGAGAGAGAGAGAGAGAGAGAGAGAGAGAGAGAGAGAGAGAGAGAGAGAGAGAGAGAGAGAGAGAGAGAGAGAGAGAGAGAGAGAGAGAGAGAGAGAGAGAGAGAGAGAGAGAGAGAGAGAGAGAGAGAGAGAGAGAGAGAGAGAGGAGAGAGAGAGAGAGAGAGAGAGAGAGAGAGAGAGAGAGAGAGAGAGAGAGAGAGAGAGAGAGAGAGAGAGAGAGAGAGAGAGAGAGAGAGAGAGAGAGAGAGAGAGAGAGAGAGAGAGAGAGAGAGAGAGAGAGAGAGAGAGAGAGAGAGAGAGAGAGAGAGAGAGAGAGAGAGAGAGAGAGAGAGAGAGAGAGAGAGAGAGAGAGAGAGAGAGAGAGAGAGAGAGAGAGAGAGAGAGAGGAGAGAGAGAGAGAGAGAGAGAGAGAGAGAGAGAGAGAGAGAGAGAGAGGAGAGAGAGAGAGAGAGAGAGAGAGAGAGAGAGAGAGAGAGAGAGAGAGGAGAGAGAGAGAGAGAGAGAGAGAGAGAGAGAGAGAGAGAGAGAGAGAGAGAGAGAGAGAGAGAGAGAGAGAGAGAGAGAGAGAGAGAGAGAGAGAGAGAGAGAGAGAGAGAGAGAGAGAGAGAGAGAGAGAGAGAGAGAGAGAGAGAGAGAGAGAGAGAGAGAGAGAAGGCGTGGCGTGACGCCTGCTTATTTTTCTCTGTAAACAAGCTGTGCAGCATACCTAGTTAGTCCACATGTGTTGTTCATAACTTTGTCGCATTGACCGCAGCCCTTTCCGATCATCCCTCCGTCTCTGTACAGGATCCGTCCCGATCATTATTATCCCGTCTCAGATTAGCCTCTACACAGTACCAGCTCCGTTCACTATGAACTATGAAGTATGAAGTCACTATTCCGTTTCTATGCAGCACTCACTTGTCACTATTTTATCTCTGCACAGGACCCATCCCGATCGCCGTTCCGTCTCGTTTTAGCCTCTACGCAGGACCCGCTCTGATCACTATTCCGTCTCTGTACGGCAGAGTACCAGCATCAGGACTCGTATATCGGCGCCACAATCGGCCGGGTGGCCAGCAGGATCGCCGGCAATCAGTTCCAGCTGGACAATGTGACTTACAAGCTGGCCGGCAACTCTGGCGGTTCTCACCTGCACGGAGGCATACGGGGCTTCGATAAGGTGACCGGCCAGGGTGTGCCACCTCCGTGCCGGGCCTAGTGACCTACCGTAACGGAGGCCAATAGTAACGTGCCGTAACGCAGGCTAATAGTCTGGCTTCAGTATTTGGAAAACATTTTAGCGAGGTGAGGGTTTTTATGGACTTTTTTGGGGGCTAAATCAGACTCTAGATTTACCATTAGGTACTCTAGTGGTCGTGTTCACGTGTTATCCCTATACTGCATAAATTCACATCGGTATTAACTGGTCTTGCATTATCCCTTTTGTTTTCATCATACCCATCACGTGCTCCATAACCTATTACCGCAACACCGACTCTAGATAACCAAAAGGAGAACAACAGTGTTCTCCCAGTCATGACCTGTGAGACCCATCCTGCTGCAGCGCCTGTGGTCAGCCGATGTCGGCAAGGACTCGGTGACCTTCAGCTACCTCTCCCCCAACGGCGAGGAGGGCTACCCCGGCGACGTCATGGCACAGGTCACGTAAGTGTGCCTCCTAACTGTCCACTGTCCAGGGGATAATCGTGAGTTTTTTAAGTGACCCGTGGAGGCTCCGATTTCTTGAATTTTGACTGCGTTCAGTTTAAATGAATACAATGTAAAACAAGGCATTGTTTAGAGTTAATAATTCAAAATATGTATAAGCTATCGTTAGTACAGCAACGCTTTCCATACTACCAAAAATATTACTGGCTTAATATACCATTTATTTGAAGGGGAAATGTGCTTTGAATTGTGCCTTTTTTGGTAATAGGGCGCAATAAAATCTTTTTAGAACTATATCGATGCTGCACACAACACAATCCACATGTCTCCATGATTGACCTTAAAGGGACTATCCCACCTTTAACATGGGGTTTGAGTTGAGATAGCCAAGTTTGCGGCGAGGTTCAGAAACCACTATCTATCTAGGTTGCAACCCCCGCAGCCTCTTGGTGTTGAAGAAATTCGTTCCCTTCATTTGAAAATGGGCCTTGTACAAGGCCCTATCTTCAACATGGAGCGACCGTTAGTGTGACGTCACCTCGTTTAGTCATTCTGATTTAAATGGGTTTGTTCGTTGAAAAATCGCTTAAAACTTGGTCTGAACTTTGTTGTGGTGCCTACAGAGTAAAAAGAATCAGCTTTATGACAGTAATGTGGCCTGGGGAAGGAGATAATTTTGGGCTGTGACGTCACATATTTGAAAGTTTGTGTTTGGAATATGGGAAGCCTAAGATGTTTAATGAAAAATAAATGCCAGAACCGTGTTCCTGGTCATCCAATCTATAAAGTCGGGCACAATTTAACTGGTTTTAACAACATTTTAGAAGGTGGGATAGTCCCTTTAAAACACATTATTTATTTCAAGATCAATAAAGTTAGATGCCACTCTATAGCTAAGTTAATTGACGACCATGAAATAGTTACGTTAGCTTTATCTTCTAGAAGGTTTATTTCTATTGTATCAAGCGTTTGAGAGCAAAGTAGGCAAAAGTATTTGGCACCAAACAGAATCTAAAGGAGGAAGGGGCCCGGAGAACAAATGAACGAAACAACAGACGATTACGCGACCTCCAACCGGTCCAATGGCGCTGCGCTCATTGGTCGACGGCTCTGCGACCTGTCCAGTGCGCGGCGCTCATTGGTCGACGGCTCTGCGACCCGTCCAGTGGCGCGGCGCTCATTGGTCGACGGCTCTGCGACCCGTCCGTGGCGCGGTCTTCATCTGCAGAAGCCTCTGCGACCGACTGTGCTCGCTGTGGGCGGCAGGTACCGTCTGGTGCGCCACGAGGGCCTGGCGGCGCTCAGCCTGCAGTACCGAGGCCTGGCGGGCGCAGCGACACCTCTGAGCATGACTAACCACGCCTACTTCAACCTGGCCGGTCACGTGAGTCGGCCGACCGGCCACGGGGCACCAGTGTCAGCCTCACAGGCCAGAGAGCGCCGCAGTCTGTGCTAACAGATGATAGAAGATGGTATTTGTTTTTGCCAGACGCCTGGCATGTGACTTGCAGAGTGTGTCTATTGCTCTCGCTGAGATTGGCTTGTGATCTTCAAGAGTGTGACCGTTGTTTTCGGCTGCCTACAGGAGAGCGGCGAGAAGGGACTCCTTCAGCATGACATCACCATTAGAGCCGACAAGAAGCTGGTCCTAGAAGGAGGACTCGCTAATGGTAAGCAGCTAGTGCGGCAACCGATCTATCACTAACGTTGGAGCTTGGTCCGTAGTGAAAACTGTCGATGACATTTGTTATCCCCTCCCCAGTTACTATCTTTCAAGATTAAATTGGTAGTGAGAGTAGGCGCTTTCCTGTATAAACTATCTTAACAATGTTAGCCGCCATTCATAACATAAACAGACTATGACAGTATATGTAAGCAGACTAGTATAGTATCTCCCGGCCTCCTAAGCTCTCCAGTGTGGTTCATTGGCGCCTGCTGTGGCAGGTCAGATGGTGAACGCCAGTGGCGCCCCTGGCGGCGGCTGGCCGCAGGGCGCCCTGCCGGACGTCATGGCCGCTAACGGTGGCGAAATAGACGACGTGTTCGTTCTTCCGACCGACGGAGGGCTGGACATGAAGACGGCTGCCACGTGAGTCCAACCCAAATGCCGGTATTTTTCGCTTAGTTACATCACAGAATGCCGTCAGGTATTGACATTAACCAATGGTAACAATCGTATTGAATGCTAACTCTAGTCCAGTTCACCTACCTTCACGGCACCGGGCACGCGTCAAGTGCGAAGTCGGAAGATATGTGTCAAAGTTATGTGGTGACCCAACAAAAGAGACCGTAAATCAATCGGTCCAGCGGTTGCTGATATACGAGTACAAAACTATGTATAAGCCTCTCAAAAGCGTTACAAGCCGGGTCGGGCCGATCATACTGCGATTTTCCCGTTATATTGAAAAGACTTCGTTTTGGTTTCATCGCTCGCTCGCTTGTAACTATAGAACTGTAGAAACACATAGGTACACAAACTTTGAAGGTAAAAAGTCGGTTTTAAGTTTGATTTAGAAGACACAAGCAAAATAGTATTTTGACGTTACATACTTTTATTCACAATGCTCGCACACTGAACAAACGTTAGCTGTTAATCTATAGATATAGCCACCACCAATTAATAAGTGACCAAGGGTGTCCCATCCTCAAGCTCACCGACGTCTTCACACCACAATGATAGCCATGTCGCGACACTCTGCTAAGAAACCATGTTTCAGCATTAAGCGCTATGAAATATGTTAAATACCAGCCCGGCCCGGACGTGCACACGGCGCCGGTCAAACCACGAATAGCGGGGCGGCTGCACCAGCCTGCCCCGCCCTGAACTGGTCGCCAACGTGGCCAGGTCAGCTGCAGTCATGTGACGGAACGTCAACATAAACGTAACACTTGTCTCTACTAGAAAATAAATGAAATACAGCGCTACAGCGAGAAGTTGGGCGATAAACAAAACCATCAGAGAGAAACAGTGAAACAGCATGGAACGGAAGAGACAAACATATAATAAACATATTCACCACTTAAATGTTACACTGTAACTCTCCAGCCATTAGTGGGGTCGCGTGCCGGCTCTGCAGCGTCGTGGCAACTAAACATTTGCGACCAATGTCTCCATGCGGAAACACATGCTGGTCCACAAAAGCGGACGGCGCCTACAGTATCCATGTGAATCGTGTTCCGTTCGCACCTTGGTTTCAGAATCAGCGCCCAGCTCTTGTTCCTGGTCCTCTCTGCGCTGTCTCAAGCAGTGAGGACACTCCCGCTCCCAATCGCACAGCTCCCTTTCACGATATTTTGACCAGGAGGCTCTCGATGTTTCCGGATGAAATAGTGCGTAGTTCAAGCACATGAAGACTAGTCCGACAATAAAAGCAGCAATGAATAGAAAAGGCCACCACGAGTGGGGACGTTCAACTGAATAACCTCCAATACGCTGTGAAACAGGTCACGTCGAACAAAAAGCTGAACGCATAGTAGATCACATAGCGTCGGAATGCTGGAGTGTCCGGTAAGTTGACATAGTGGAAGAGATAAGCGAATGCCATAACAAGTCGGTAGATGTATTCCCTAGTGAAATTTTTCATGGTATTTGTTTTCATTGCATCAATGCAAAACATGCACGTAAGGATAACTAAATAGACAATGAACGTAGTGGCGACTCCAGCTATCCAACTGACACTGAACAGGCAGGCGATAGCGATTATTCGGCTCGTCATGAAAAAACACACCGAAAGCCATTGCATTCCTGCTCCTGCATAGGAAATATCTTTCTTATCGTAGCGAACTTGCTTCGTGTTTATGCATGCGGACGTGAGAGATAATCCAAGAGACATCGCAGTCACTATACAGAAGAAAGTGTCTGTCCCACTGCTGCTGCCGCCCCAGTCTTCATTCAGCAGTCTATAAACTTTTAGAACGAGCTGCGGGCCGGAGCCGATGAACGTACTAATCAATCTAAGGTGAGCCAGGTCAGCCTGTTTTTGAAAGACATCGTGGAAATGTCCATGCTGGTTATGTATGCTTACTTTGTTAGCGACTTGACGAGTGCGCCATATTAGTGAAATAAATCCGGTAACAATGCACAAGGGTGCTCTTTCCCACCTTTCTAATGTTTGGTTTTCCTCTTTAAGGTCATTACTTAGCCAAAAATGTGCCAAAATAGAGATAATAATCCAAGGAATGATCATGGTTGCAAGCAAGACACCACTATACCGGTAATGCTTCTCCACAATGTAGGCATGCAGTTGATATAAGTTACATCCGAGCGCCACTAAAAAGGTGATAATAGGCAACCAATAGAAGAGCCAAAAAATACAATCGATTTCCGGCATGGGTGGTTTCAACCAAAAATCCTTGGTGAAGAGGCGCCGTAGAAGGGTGGCGAGTTGTAACAAAAAATCATTGGTGAAGATGCGCCTTAGAAGGGTGACCCGAGTGTACACATTCGCTCGGCTTTCGGCGCCTGAAAAAAGAACAAAAAAACACTTAAATTGTATATATTAAATACAAACTGCCAAGCAATCAAGATAGCTGCCCGAGATACAGCTTTTTAATGTGTATACAGTGATCCTAGTACCTACCGGGAAATCGATAGCAACTTCATGAAGCTCAAAACTACTAGGAGTAATCAACAAATTATACATGAAAGAACGGCACGGATGTAGTCTTCGCCACTCGGCCCTCCCAGCAACAGCCCTGCATGTCCACGAGATAAAAAAAGAAATCCTGCCTTTCTTGACGCTGATCTTCGACAAGTGTAAAATCCCCTGATAAGGTCCGTTTTTTTTAGACGAAACGTCAACGCCAGCTTAGTTATATTTAACCCGCGCCCTGCTGGGAGTTTGAACACCCCCTCCCCGTTTTTTTTTACGAATATTTCAAAAACGGCGGCGCAGAGCACCGCCTATTTTGGAACACGTTATTATACATCTGTACCGCAAATGTGAAAACATCAGACCAAGGTCATTCAAGGTCAGGTCACCAGGTCACTTCAAGTGACCTCACCTCATAAAATGTTTCAATGCATGCCATAGCTATATAGTAAGCTACACCAAATGACCGATCGCATTGAAACTTTCAAGGATTGATAAGAGCAACAGTAGCCGTTTTCACCACGGAACAGCGGGTACCTAATAGATACCTGTTTGGTCCTTTGATACCTCAGGAATTTTAGTTGTTCTTTATAGTAGGCTTTCCACCTTTCGAATGAGTGCCCCGTTACTTTGCTTTTTTCCTACTAAAGGCCGCCCCACACTGGAACTCGCATGCGGGTTGCGAGTTTGCGGGTTTTGAGTTTGCGGGCATAACAATAATTCATAGAGTGATTAGACCGCTCCAGTATGGTAACTTCATGGATGCAGTGAAGCCAGTACACCTTCAGAAACTTTCATATAGTCGCAATTACCAGCGCAACGATCCAAAATTCGACTTCAACGAAAAACCCGCAAACCTCGCAGAACTCGCAGACCTCGCAGCGAGGAAAATCGAAAGTTGACTCAAAATCAACTCTTGGAATGCAATGCAAGGTCGCTCGCAAGCTAAAAACATGCAGACTCGCTTGTTAGATGGTAGTATGGGTGACTCAGCTTAGATTGTATTATTTGATTTTGAAGAAACCCGCAAATCCAAAAACTCGCAACCCGCATGCGAGGTCCAGTGTGGGGCGGCCTTAAATATTACATTAATGTATTTTTATCAAGGGTTTACCACTCACGTAAGCCCAAAGCGTAAGCACGTTTATGAAATTTTCAAATCTATAGGTATGGTGCTATAATGATTAGATGATTAGATTATTATGATTAATGATTAGATTAGATGCTATAATGATTATAGTACAATGATTAGACAATATACTGAGCTGCCAGCTGCGGATGACCGAGCTCTCCGAATTCCACGCTGGCTTGGCTTTGGAACCGCAGCAGATGGCGGAGGTCAAGGTCATTGCTAAGACGGAGGCGGACGCGCAGCGTCGGGCCGGTGAACCAGAAGCCGGCTGCCGGGTATCTAGTTGCCAGGGTGATTTGATCCCTCATAGTCGAAAGGTGGGCTACTAGAACCGAAAATTGATATGTTTGTAAATAAATAAGCGATTTGATAGCGTAAATACTAAATAGCCTGTATTACAACTTTTAAAAATATTTTGAAGGCAAAAGACTTCAGTTGTGAGGACTCTAAGGCCGTAAAAAGGTTGGTAGGTACTTTCCGTTTCCAGGTATCAAATTAGGTTCCATCGCGAAAGTCCCGTCGTGAAAACGGCCAGTATGTACAAAATGTATATCTCTGAATTTTCATATCGGTGACCTAAGGTCAGGTCACTTTTTTGACCTTCCCATTACAAGTCAACGGGAGGAAATTCAAAACCGCCTCTTTTAAACGAAAGTCATTGTAACCACTCTCAAATACTGAATCACAAGTAAATTTTGCACACAACATGCAAATGGCACCGGTGACCCCTATTTATGCCCCTGAGGTCATCACAGGTCACGAATGGTATCTAACAGTTTTTCGCGAATAACTTTTAGTAGAGGCATGCTAGAGCGATGACAATGTCATGTGTTCAGCTCAACGATACGGATCCACTATATGCAACATGACAATTTCCGGTCAGTTCAAATTTTTCAAAAAAAATCCGGTCAGGATGACCTTGACCTTGACCTGAGGTCAAATTTTTGAGTTGACCTCTCAAGGTCAAATTATTGTTCATTCGTTGCGTCTTGACGAGAGGAACACGATGCCGGTAAAAGAAAACTCGTGCAAGTCTTGAGTCAAAAGTTTTTGCAGAAAAGCTGTTTTAAAAAATGGTCTATTTTGGCAGTTTTTGCCTCCCTGCAGGCAAAGCCGTTGACTTTAGGTCAAATCTGAGGGAATTGCTCAGAAAGAGCGGTAAGAGGGCTATCAAGTGCGCTTTTCCGCGGCGCTCTAACTGTGAGAAATAAATTTGGTTTCCGGCTGCGTTGGACTGCGAAACTTTCGGAGCACTCCGAATTCCTCGGATAGACGGTGCCTGGGATAGACGGTGCAAGGCTACCTGACAGCTGACTTTTAATGACAAGCAGACGCCAGTGGTGAGCCTGTTCTGTCTCTGTCTGT